TCTCTGTGCTTGCTTCCCGTTCCTGTCCTGGCACAATGTCCACACACACAGTCACGGCTGGAAGTCACATAAAAGTGGTGGAGAGCCAGGTGTATGCAGAGCGTTGTCCCGCTCTGTGGCTTCCAGGCTCATGGGCGACTCCCCGCAAACCTTAGCACCACAGAGGCCCCTTCTCATCTCCTGCTGCCCACTGCTGCTTCTGTGTGTGTGTGTGTGTGTGTGTGTGTATGCGCACAGGTGCACCGATGTGTGGGTGAACATGAAAGCCAGAGGTTAATCTTGGCTGTCAGAGGCATCACCCACTATTTACTTATTTCGAGTGTGTGTATGTGGTGTGTGTGTGTGGTGTATGTGGGCGTGTGTGTACAGCGGCATGTGCTCACAACTCAGGTTGTTAGGCCTGGCAGGGAGTGGCTTTACCTGCTGAGCCATCCTGATAGATGTGTCCACCTTCTTTTGGGAGGGTCCCTCGCTGAGCCTAAAGATTGCCATTTAGAGCAGACTGGTTGGCCAGTGAGCTCCAGGGGTCTGCTGTCCCCCTTGTGCTGGATTGTAAGCACAATCCCACCAGGGCTTCCATGTCAAGGTTGGGAGCAAGCCCAAGTTCACATGCTTCTGTGGCAAGCAATTACCAAGTGTTTGTTTCTCTTGGATAAGCACCCAAGAGAAGCAATGTGTTTTGCCACCTTTGATTGTTGCGATACTTCATTCAGGAATATTAACTATAAGATAACATTGTTCAGCTCGTGGGACCGACATGGTGGTGGGGCTGGGTGCAGGTCTGACCAGGGCATCCCTGAACACCCTGGGTCAATTTTGTGTCTCCCTGACTTATTGGATTCAAATCTGTTCCACCCTCCATGGCTGTGTGTCATTAGCCAGGTTGCTCCACCTCTCTGAGCCTCCATTGTCTCCTCTGTGGGTCAGGGGTCATCAGAGGCCTCATGGTGTTGCTGAGTGAATCCACAAGGTCAGATTACCACACAGCAAAAACTCCTTCCTTCAGCAGACACAGATGCACGGAAGCTCTCTCCACTGCAGACAGTGCTGGGAGTATTTAGGAGACATTAACCAAAACAGACAGACCAAAAATAAACAGTCATTGAGGCTGGAGCATTGGCTGCTCTTGCAGAGGACCCAGGTTCAGTTCCCAGCACACACGGCAGCTCACAACCATCTGTAGCTTCAGTTCAGGGGCTCTGAGGCCCTCTTGTGGCCTCTGCAGGCACGGCATGTGGTGCACAGACACACATGAAGACAAAACATCCACACATATAACATAAATACATTAATCTAAAGACAATTCTCTCACTTTTGAAAGCCCCTGGACAACGAAGATAATCAGAATATATGGCGTGACTACCTTCACTCAGTAAATCTGAAGCCCCAAGCACCCTAGAATCCTAACCTATTTTAGTGCTGGCCTGCCACCGTGGGTAGAAGGTTGCACGCCTGAACTCATGTAACCAAGTGAGAGACAAAACATGGGGAACAAAAATATTGGGTAAAATATCTTTGCTGCTGTTAGAGTGTGCGGGACACATCTGGAACCGGAGTTTAGACTCAGGTCTCTTTTCCAAGGCGTGTGTATGTGTGTATGTATTTGTGTATGTGTGTGCATGTGTATATGTATGTGTGTGTATGTGTGTGTGTGCAGCTATTTCAAAAAACAAAAGTCTCCACATGACACCTGTGAACCCTGTGTTGGGGTAAGATGAGGCAATATTCAGGGTGAGCTGAAACAATTTAGAGGATCCGTCCTCATCACTTTCAGTGCGAATGAGAAGACATGCCTGCGGGTATTGGCACAAGGGATGAGAAAACCACAAGACATAAAATCCAAAGAGCTGGCAGGAAGGTGGGGATGAAGAGGAGGGCATGGGGAAACTGTGGAGGAGCCTGAGGAGAATCTGAGTTCCAGGTCCTGGCTGGTAAAGTCTCTGCAGCATCCAGGGCTGGAGGCACCAGCAAGGGAGGGGCGCAGATGCTCTGGGACTGTCCGTCACTGGTCGTTCACTCCTCCAGTCAGTCAGCCGTTTGTGTGTTTTCCCATTCACTCACTCTCCCGCTGTCCCCTCGCCCCCCCCATTCCTGTACCAGCCTCCCACCGTCTCCCTCCTTCAGTCATTTGGTCCCACGTAACTTGAGCCAGAAGCCCTGGGCCCTTGCTGCTTGGCCTCTCGGGATGTGAGCTGCATTCAGAGAGCTTTGTTTTTGTTTTATCAGTGGAGCGGTGGCCCAGGTGTCCATTAATTCACTTACTCATCCAGGAATCATTTCAGGGTGCCTAAGGGAACAAGATTCTCCCCTGGAAGGTGACTCAGTTTCCCTCTCCTCTAATGGGAAAGAAATAACTCTCTCAAGGAGTTATTTGCTGAGATCAAAGACTAAATCATACTTGGGGCTACTAAGTGTCTCTCAAGAACCCAGTACTTAAGATACACAAGCCCTTATAATCCTCAGTAGGATTGAAGGCTTGAAGCAGTGAATATTGCTGTCTGCTTATGACAGTTGAGGAAACTGAGGCCCAGGCAGCAAGGCAGGTTAGGCATAGCCTTGGGCAGGCAGGCATCAACTAATCTGCCTGGTAACTGGTGATATCACACATTCTACCTTCAGGCTCAACCTATGGGAAACCGATGACCTCTCTGAGCAAATGAGGTGCTGAGGACTCTCCACCTCACTGCAGGCACACTGCACCGCAGGCTGGCT